GCACTAGGGGGGATCTCCGGGCATTGGGGGGTGTCTGAGCATGGAGGGGTCCCTGGGCACTGGGGATTGGGGTATCCCTGGGCACTCGGGGGTCCCTGGGGTTTGGGGTATCCCTGGGCACTCAAGGGGTCCTGGGCATTGGAGATTGGGGTATCCCTGGGCACTCAGGGGGTCCCTGGGGATTGGGGTATCCCTGGGCACTTGGGGGTCCCTGGGCATTGGGAATTGGGGTATCCCTGGGCACTCGGGGGTCCCTGGGGATTGGGAATTGGGGTATCCCTGGGCACTTAGAGGGTTCCTGGGGATTGGGGTATCTCTGTGCACTCGGGGTGACCCTGGGCATTGGGGTATCCGTGGGCACTAAAAAGTCCCTAAACATCGGGATGTCCCCTGGGTATCGGGGGATGCCCAGTTGGGGACTTGCTCCCAGGATTGTAAGGGGGGCACACGGGCTGCGCGGGGCACCTCGGGGTGACAGGGGTGACAGGCGACGCGGGCAGAGCTCCCTGGCCCCGATGTCCCCCCGCACCAGCTCGCCCCCGCCGCCTGTCCCCTTCCGGTCCCTCCGCTCCTCCCCGGTGCCACCGCCGCGCTGTCCTTCCTCGGGGACACAGCCCGGTGCCATCTGCCCGGTGACATGCCCGCTGCGCGTGCCGGGGACGCTGCGCCCTCATTATCTGTGTCCCGTTAATTACCCGAGCGCGGTGCCAGCGCCTGCAGAGGTGCCCGCCGGCCGTGCCAGCTCGGCYGTGCCCCAGCGGGGATGTCACCACGGGGCTTCGGGGCTCCTCGGGGACAGGGCACCTTGGCGTGTCCCTGGGGGTCACCCGGCTGTGCTGCCACACCGGCGGTGCCCGAACCTGGAGTTCCTCCCCCTCCTCTCCTTCCTCGGTATGGCCGGGACAAGGACAGCGGGCACGGACCGCGGATAGGGACCCTGGGAAGGGACCCGGGGCAGGGACCCCGGCAAGGGACCTCGGGCGGGGATTCCGGGCGCRAACCCCGGGAAGGGATCCCGGGCARGATTCCGGTACCCCGGGCAGGAATTCTGGGCAGGGACCGTGGGCAGGATTCCTGGTCAGATAACCCGGGCAAAATTCCCAAGCATGGACCCCGGTCAGATATCCCGGGTAGGTCCCCCGGGCAGTCCCGGGAAGGGACAGCCCCTCCGTGCCCGCAGCGCCGTGTCCGGCGGGCGGTGACGGGAGCTGGCACAGCCCCGCGGGTGCCCGGTGCCACCGGCGGGARGTGACGGGAGCTGGCACAGCCCCGCGGCCCCGCGCCAGCGCCGGGATGTGGCCGCGCTAATTCCTTTATTCCGGCCGGGTGCGCCGGCACAAAGCGGGTGGGACACGGCTGATGGCATCGGGATGGCACCGGGAGTGGCACCAGGAGTGGCACGGGGGTGGCACTGGGGATGGGACCGGGGATGGGATCGGGGGTCGCACCAGGATGGACACTGGGAGTGGCACGAGGGTGGCACCGGGAATGGCACCGGGAGTGGCACCAGGGATGGCAGAGGGGGTGGCACCGGGAGTGGCACCGGGGGTGGCACTGGGGATGGGACCAGGGATGGTACCGGGGGTCGCACCAGGATGGGCACTGGGAGTGGCACTGGGAGTGGCACCGGGAATGGCACCGGGAGTGGCACCAGGAGTGGCACTGGGGGTGGCACTGGGGATGGGACCGAGGATGGCACCGGGATTGGCACCGGGAATGGCACCAGGAGTGGCACGGGGGTGGCACTGGGGATGGGACCGGGGATGGCACCGGGGGTGGCGCAAGGATGGGCACTGGGACTGGCATCGGGAGTGGCACGAGGGTGGCACTGGTACTGGCACTGGGAGTGGCACTGGGGATGGCACCAGGACGGGAACCGGGACTGGCACCGGGGGGTCCCGCCGTGTCCCTGTGTCCCATCCGTCTGTCCCCAGGGTCACCAGGGTCACGATGTGCCAGGGCGCTCCTCTGTCCCAGATGTGGGAGGGAGGGGAGTCCCTGTGCCCCGCCCCATC